CCCCGGAAGGGGACTAAACTTAAGGGGAGAGCTGGAACAGTGAGAACTGGTGAAGATAAAGTCTCGAGGGAGAAATCCCCAGGGCAGTACTCTAACAGGGCAGGAATGAATTTAGCATAGAAGAGGCTGAGAACTGAGTCCAGAGTCAGGGCTAAAGACACGAAGGAGGGCACAGCAAAATGCTCTGTTGGAACTTTGTTACCCTGGAAGAGGTTCATCCATTGTTTACTGTTTGATTTAGCGGGAGGACTGAGCCACTGAAGACCCACCGGACAATGTCAACCATCTGCAAGAGGTTCCAGGAGAAAGAAAATAGCAGCACCACACCCAGCCGACAGGAGGCACTCACCTTCATCACAAAGCTATAGTAGATCTATTAAGGACATCTTTGTTAAGCAATAGGTACCATAGCAGTGAAAGATATTTGAGGACACACAACAGTTCTCAAAAATACAGTTAACCTTGACAAACAAGTGTGAAACAGCTGAAGGTCATCCTACAGTACCAAAAAGACAGACCTGGTCCATAACTGGGGCTCCTAGAGCTACTGCAAAACAAATAAAGACAATACAAGGGAAAATGTAAATGGTGAGGCTATGAATGGCGTAAGAAGGTAGTGTTGCAGTGGTGAGCTGGAGCAGGTTTGCACCAGTTCACGCGAACCGGTTGTTAAATTTTGAAGACAATTTAGAACCGGTTGTTAAAGGGGTGGGCAAACTCCGGCCCACGGGCCACATCTGGCCCACAGGACCATTCTGTCCAGCCCGCCTGAGCTTTCGGCTGGGGAGGCTCCCCTGAGAATCCCTTTTTAATTTTTTACTCACCTGGCAGCGCTCCGGGTCTTTGGTGGCACTTCAGCGGCGGGTCCTTCACTCACTCCAGTTCTTCGGCGGCACTTCGGCGGCAGGTCCTTCAGTGCCACTGAAGACCCGGACGACTGAAGGACCTGCCGCAGAAGACCCAGAGCGACTGAAGGAACCGGTTCTTCAGCTTTTGGCAGTTCATCACTGGCTCTGTGGCTACATAATCAAAAGTACATCTCTGGTACCCTAACAGCCTTGCTTTGAACCGTAACTGTTAGGCACCAAACTTGGTTAATGCACTTCTGCCAGTGTTGAACAAGTTGCTATCCCTGCTTCCTTGCTCTGGAATCTCGTTTATTCACTAGACACAGTACCTGACTAATGTTGTTAGCTTGGTTTGTGTTTAATTGGTCACATATTGGCTTGACACAGTGGTGCTAAAGGATCTCTTGCTGCACGTCTGTTTCACTAACACCCGTCTGTTCGTTTTGCTGCATATTCACTGGGGTGTACCTCAGATTTGGAGGAAGTGAGGGATAGTGCTTGCCTCTCGATTATTGCAGCATGTTGCTTAATGGTATTTCAATTTAGAGGCTGCTTGAAGTGTTGTTGCTTGTTGTGCTTATTTTTATTACTCCCAGCACAGTTTCACCTCTTACCTTGCTAACACATGAAAAAAATATGTTTGAATAGAACATCTTAAGAAACAGTACAAGTATGTGGTAAACATTGTGGTAAACATTGCCTTAAGAGACCACAGCTAGTTTTAATTCTTGCCTTTTGTTTTCTATTGTCTGTAGTCAAGGACAGATTGTAGACTTGATGGGCCAAATTCATCACTGATGTAAACTGATGTAAAAGAAGTTACATCAGGGATGCATTTGGCTCTGTTTACTCAAAAAACCCTAAACAGCTGGATACTTTTATGACCCCTAATTATGTTTGTTGCTATGCAAGTTAAGATAATGATAAGGGAACCTCATCTCATGCTTCGAGGCATATTTTCATCACCTGTAGATGTCAGGAAGGAATACACCCCCACACCTCCACCACCCATGTACAGCTCTGTGCAATTAGCTAGATATCATGGTGGTTTGTTTTCTATTTATTTTTCTCTTCCTCTGAAGCATCAATTATTAGCTGCAGCTAGAATCAGGATACCAGATTAGATTAGCCAATGGTCTGATCAAATAGGGGAATTCCTAGGTTCCTGCACAGGAAAGCAAAAATCAGCAGAGGAAGAATACTTATTCTTGTGCAATTTGGAAACAGACTGTGCAGTATTTTAAATGACTGAATAGCCTGTCAGGTGCCAAAGGCTAGGATGAGGCAACACTGAGCTTTTAGCTACGTGAAAACTGGCATTGAGAGTGTCCAAGTTTGAGCAACACATTGCACTTCTGCTTAAACTCTATGAGCAACATCTGCATTCTAGGTCTCCTGGGTCCTAAGGATTATATTTGTGGCCAACCATCATGTTATATTAGCATAGGCAGCATCAGCCAGGAAAGCAATTGAAAGGCACTGGAAATCTGCTTTGCTACCCACATCCAGGGACTAGCTCTCTGATAATCCTAATAGAGAAGATCATGTTTGCCAAGAAAATAGAAGATAGTCAGCATTTTGTTTCATTCTCCCTCAACTCTTTCTGCTCTATACAAGACTTAATCAAAAGTTAACAAACATCAGTCTCTCTACACAACACAGCATTGTCATTCCAGTACTTAAGAGTATGTCTACACTATGAAATTAGGTAGAATTTGTAGAAGTCGGTTTTGTAGAAAGCATTTTTATACAGTCGATTGTGTGTCCCCCCACACAAATACTCTAAGTGCATGTAGTCGGCGGAGTGTGTCCACAGTACCGAGGAAACCATCGACTTCTGGAGCATTGCATTATGGGTAACTATCCCACAGTTCCCAGTCTCCGCTGCCCATTTGAATTCTGGGTAGAAATCCCAGTGCCTGATGGGGCTAAAACATTGTCGCGTGTGGTTCTGGGTACATATCGTCAGGCCCCCCTTCCCTCCCTCCCTCTGTGAAAGCAAGGGCAGACAATAGTTTTGCGCCTTTTTTCTTGACTTACCTGTGCAGACGCCATACCACAGCAAGCATGGAGCTCGCTCAGCTAACCATCACTGTATGTCTCCTAGGTGCTGGCAGACATGGTACTGCATTGCTACACAGCAGCAGTTTTTTGCCTTTTGGCAGTAGACACTGCAGTATGACTGGTAGCCATTGTCGATGTAATCCAGGGTGCTCTTTTAACCAATCTCGATGAGGTCAGGGTGCCTGGGCAAACATGGGAGTGATTCAGCCAAGTCATTTCCCTTTTAAGTTTCGTTTCATGGTGATTCAGTCCTACCGGCAGTGCACTGTCTTTTAATCTGCAGCCAGCAGAAGACGATGGCCAGCAGTCATACTGCACCATCTTCTGCCAAGCACCCAGGAGATGACGATGGCTAGCGGTCGTACTGCACAGTCTGCTGCCAGCAAGATGTATAAAGATAGATGAAGTGGCTCAAAACAAGAAATAGACCAGATTTGTTTTGTATTCATTTTCTCCTCCCTCCCTCCATGAAATCAACATCCTGCTAAACCCAGTTTTGAGTTCTATCCTTTAGGGGGTCATTCTGTTTCTCGCAAAGCCACCCCTTTTGTTGATTTTAATTCCCTGTAAGCCAACCCTGTAAGCCATGTCGTCAGTTGCCCCTCCCTCCGTCAGAGCAATGGCAGACAATTGTTCCGCGCTTTTTTTCTGTGCAGACACCATACCACGGCAAGCATGGAAGCCGCTCAGATCACTTTGGGAATTAGGAGCACATTAAACACCACACGCATTATCCAGTAGTATATGCAGCACCAGAACCTGGCAAAGCGAAATCGGGCGTATAGGCAACATCAGCGCGGTGACGAGAGTGATGAGGACATGGACACAGACTTCTCTCAAAGCACGGGCCCTGGCAATGTGGGCATCATAGTGCTAATGGGGCAGTTTCATGCGGTGGAACGCTGATTCTGGGCTCGGGAAACAAGCACAGACTGGTAGGACTGCATAGTTTTGCAGGTCTGGGACAATTCCCAGTGGCTGCGAAACTTTCACATGCGTAAGGGCACTTTCATGGAACTTTGTGACTTGCTTTCCCCTGCCCTGACGTGCAAGAATACCAAGATGAGAGCAGCCCCCACAGTTGAGAAGTGAGTGGCAATAGCTCTGTGGAAGCTTGCAACGCCAGACAGCTACCGGTCAGTTGGGAATCAATTTGGAGTAGGCAAATCTACTGTGGGGGCTGCTGTGATGCAAGTAGCCAAAGCAATCAAAGATCTGCTGATATCAAGGGTAGTGACCCTGGGAAATGTACAGGTCATAGTGGATGGCTTTGCTGCGATGGGATTCCCTAACTGTGGTGGGGCCATAGACAGAACCAATATCCCTATCTTGGCACTGGAGCACCAAGCTGGCGAGTACATAAACCGCAAGGGGTACTTTTCAGTAGTGCTGCAAGCAGTGGTGGATCACAAGGGACGTTTCACCAATATCAACGTGGGATGGCCGGGAAAGTTACATGATGCTCACATCTTCAGGATCTCTGGTCTGTTTCAAAAGCTGCAGGAAGGGACTTTATTCCCAGACCAGAAAATAACTGTTGGGGATGTTGAAATGCCTATAGTTATCCTTGGGGACCCAGCCTACCCCTTAATGCCATGGCTCATGAAGCCATATACAGGCAGTCTGGACAGTAGTCAGGAGCTGTTCAACTACAGGCTGAGCAAGCACAGAATGGTGGTAGAATGTGCATTTGGATGTTTAAAAGCGCGCTGGTGTAGTTTACTGACTCAGTTAGACCTCAGCAAAACCAATATTCCAACTGTTATTACTGCTTGCTGTGCGCTTCACAATATCTGTGAGAGTAAGGGGGAGACGTTTATGGTGGGGTGGGAGGTTGAGGCAAATCGCCTGGCCACTGGTTACGCACAGCCAGACACCAGGGTGGTTAGAAGAGCACAGGAGGGCGTGGTGCACATCAGAGAAGCTTTGAAAACCAGTTTCATGACTGGCCAGGCTATGGTGTGAAAGTTCTGTTTGTTTCTCCTTGATGAAACCCCCCACCCCTTGGTTCGCTCTACTTCCCTGTAAGCTAACCACCCTCTCCTCCTCCCTTTGATCACTGCTTGCAGAGGCAATAGTCATTGTTGCTTCACATTCATGCATTCTTTATTAATTCATCACACAAATAGGGGGATAACTACCAAGGTAGCCCAGGAGGGGTGGTGGAGGAGGGAAGGAAAATGCCACACAGCACTTCAAAAGTTTAAAACTTTAAAACTTATTGAATGCCAGCCTTCTGCTGCTTGGGCAATCCTCTCGGGTGGAGTGGCTGGGTGGCCGGAGGTCCCCCCACCACATTCTTGGGCGTCTGGGTGAGGAGGCTATGGAACTTGGGGGAGGAGAGCAGTTGGTTACACAGGGGCTGTAGCGGCGGTCTGTGCTCCAGCTGCCTTTTCTGCAGCTCAACCATATGCTGGAGCATATTCGTTTGATCCTCCAGCAGCCTCAGCATTGAATCCTGCCTCCTCTCATCACGCTGCTGCCACCTTTCAGCTTCAGCCCTCTCTTTAACCCGCCACTTACTTTCTTCAGCCTGCCACCTCTCCTCCCGGTCATTTTGTGCTTTCCTGCACTCTGACATTGTCTGCCTCCACACATTCGTCTGTGCTCCGTCAGTGTGGGAGGACAGCATGAGTTCAGAGAATATTTCATCACGAGTGCGTTTTTTTCGCCTTCTAATCTTCGCTAGCCTCTGGGAAGGAGAAGATCCTGTGATCCTTGAAACACATGCAGCTGGTGGAGAAAAAAAAGGGACAGTGGTATTTAAAAAGACACATTTTATAGAACAATGGGTACACTCTTTCACGGTAAACCTTGCTGTTAACATTACATACATAGCACACGTGCTTTCATTCCAAGGTCGCATTTTGCCTCCCCACCACGTGCCTAGCCCCTCCCCGTGGCTAACAGCAGGGAACATTTCTGTTCAGCTACAGGCAAACAGCCCAGCAGGAATGGGCACCTCTGAATGTCCCCTTAAGAAAAGCACCCTATTTCAACCAGGTGACCATGAATGATATCACTCTCCTGAGGATAACACAGAGAGATAAAGAACGGATGTTGTTTGAACACCAGCAAACATACACTGCAATGCTTTGATCTACAATGATTCCCAAGTACATGCTACTGGCCTGGAGTGGTAAAGTGTCCTACCTTGGTGGACGGAATAAGGCTGCCCTCCCCAGAAACCTTTTGCAAAGGCTTTGGGAGTACATCCAGGAGAGCCACGAATGCCAGGGCAAATTAATCCTTTCACATGCTTGCTTTTAAACCATGTATAGTATTTTAAAAGGTACACTCACTAGAGGTCCCTTCTCCGCCTGCCGGGTCCAGGAGGCAGCCTTGGGTGGGTTCGGGGGGTACTGGCTCCAGGTCCAGGGTGAGAAACAGTTCCTGGCTGTCGGGAAAACTGGTTTCTCTGCTTGCTTGCTGTGAGCTAGCTACAACCTCCTCCTCATCATCATCTTCCTCATCCCCAAAACCTGCTTCCGTGTTGCCTCCATCTCCATTGAAGGAGCCAAACAACATGGCTGGGGTAGTGGTGGATGAACCCCCTAAAATGGCATGCAGCTCATCATAGAAGCAGCATGTTTGGGGCTCTGACCCAGAGTGGCCGTTTGCCTCTCTGGTTTTCTGGTAGGCTTGCCTCTGCTCCTTAAGTTTCATGTGGCACTGCTTCAGGTCCCTGTTATGGCCGCTGTCCTTCATGCCCTGGGAGATTTTGACAAATGTTTTGGCATTTCAAAAACTGGAACGTAGTTCTGATAGCACGGACTCCTCTCCCCATATAGCAATCAGTCCAGTTCGGTCAGTTCGGTCCATGCTGGAGCTCTTTTGCGATTCTGAGACTCCATCATGGTCACTTCTGCTGATGAGCTCTGCATTGTCACCTGCAGCTTGCCACGCTGGCCAAAGAGGAAATGAGATTCAAAAGTTCGCAGTTCTTTTCCTGTCTACCTGGCCAGTGCATCTGAGTTGAGAGTGCTGTCCAGAGCGGTCACAATGGAGCACTCTGGGATAGCTCCTGGAGGCCAATATCGTCTAATTGTGTCCACAGGACCCCAGATTCAACCCGGCAAGGCCAATTTCAGTGCTAATCCCCTGGTTGGGGGTGGAGTAAGGAAATTGATTTTAAGAGCCCTTTAAGTCGAAAAAAAGGGCTTCGTCGTGTGGATGGGTGCAGGGTTAAATCGATTTAACACTGCTAAATTCGACCTCAACTCCTAGTGTAGACCAAGGTTAAGATAAATCCCAGTCTCTCTATGTTATTGACTTTGCCCATTTCCTTTTGTTTCATTTGCTCCCACCATTCCCTTTTCCCACCAGTGCTTCACTTTTATCTCAAGTAAAGCAAGTCTGCCATCTAATTAATTGATTGGCCTCCACTTGAAGCAAAATTCAACTTACTCTCTATTAGAGCTATGAAAAGGATAGAAATTCTGCTTTGTGAAGGATTTTGACATTTCAGCATTTATCTTCATTCTGATCAGGAATGAAACCCAAACATTTAGAAATTCTCCTAGAAAGAAAATTAAAAAAAAAAAAAGTCTCTCACAATGTTAATTAAAAAAAAAAAAGAGTCTGCATCAATCACAATGTTCCATTTTGATAAAAATGGATAGTTTGTTTCAATTTTGCCTTTATTTTAGAACAATCATTTCAACTTGAAAAATTTGAAACATTTGCTCCAGAAGTGTCAAAACAGGGTGCTTTTACATTGTTGGACTTCCTTGGTGTTTCTCTAACAAAATTTTGGCAAAAAACAATTTTTCAAAGCATTTTGGTGAAGATACTTTCTCCAGTGGAAAATGGTTCCATCCGTTTTTCTGACCATCTTTACTGAGACAATTTATTGGTAATTGTACTTCATATCAGGGAGTTTCTACTCTAACGTTGTTAATGAGGGTGTGCGTGTGAGAGACAGACTATCAATTATACATGGGAGCTTTGACAAAGCACCTATTACAATATGTTTACTTTTTATTTTGCATTAAATCTACATACGAAACTTCAGAAAAATGTATACAGGATATTATTTATTACAGGGACAAAATGTGAGGTCCTTTCTCTCATTGATCACAACGGAAATTTGCCTGAATAAGCACAGAGTAAAAACTGGATCTCAAGAGCTGGCCCAACATTGTTTTCTGTTTTTTATACTACTACATGCGTGCTTTACAGACAAATGGAATGACTGGTCCTTGCTGCAAAGACAGATCACAAGGAATTCCATCCAGGATCCATTGTGTCCCCTATCTATAGACACCTGATGCCATCTACATCCATTCATGCAATTGCTAGGGGCCAGCAAAAATTCATTGCGTTTTTTAATCTTTCTTGATCTTTCATATTGAGATTCCCAAACTTAAGCACTTCCACACAAAGTAAAGAGGCAGACTGATTGGTGGTATGTTCACAATATAGAACCTAGACTGGACCTGCAAACTCTTATTCAAATAAGTAATCCCAATTCACATGGGGCTCAGTCCTAGGACATGCTGAGGTCCTGACTCTTTCAGAAGAGAATGGAAGTTGAAGGCTCTCACAATGTCAAAAGACTGCACAGCATCTTGCAGGACTGAGCCCCTAGAATGAAACCCTGCTCATTCTATTCACGCAGTCCCATTGTGCCTGTTACCGCTTTGAGGCACTGAGAATGTTATTGCCCTCAGTGGAAGCAGAAGCAGGTGAATAATTGACTGTGTTGGGACTACTTACGTGAGGTGAGCAGGATTTGTCCCACAACTAGTCCCAGTAACTTCAGTGGGATTTCTCGCCTAAGTAAGGATAACACACATGTAACGCGCAGGGTTGTAATTTTTATAGGATTCAGGTTAAAGAACATACATATCAAACAAACATCATTTCACTGGTGATATAATTCCACAGTCAGCATATGAAATATTTTACTTGTCTCCTTAGCAATTATTGATGAATGGAACAAAGCTGCAGGTGAACACAAAGGACTGGCTGTTCGTATTTCTGCCCTGCCAGCATGCCAGATTGTATAGTAAGCAAGTCATTGTGCCTGGAACTAGACCAACAGAATGCTGACTGATAGGTATTTGGGAAGTGAATTCCTGAAAATGAAAATAAGCTGTCACTGATTCGTGACCTGTTCTATTAATTACAATGTGATGTCTTTCTTCTCTAGCTGAATGCAGAGGACTGAATAAGAGATTTATTCAGGCAATATGGGTTTGATCATTTGAGGTGCTGAGCACCTGGAAAGATCAGGCACCTTGTGAAGTGTATGTTTGGGGGACTGACTGCAGGATAAAAGGACCATCTCCCACAATCAACTGTTTGATTGCAGGAGGTCAGAGCTAAATAACTTTGGCTGAATTTTTTTAAAGGGCTGTATAATTTTATGAGCAGTTTATAATATAGGTGGATGTTAAAAACAGTCACATCTCATGATTCAGGTTGATTGATGCCAGTATCAAGGAGGACATTTCTTCCTCACACATAGCCTGGCACAAGTGGCCTCATTCACTACGGTGGCTTTTCATTTTCTTCTGAAGCACAAGGTACTCGTTTGAATGGGCTACCAGTCTACAACACTAAGCTCACCTTCATGCTTCAATGGAATTGCAGAGCTGTGTTTTTCTTCCCTCTTGTCTAGCTTGCTAAGTTTTTCTACATCACTCATGAGCATAGAATCTCAGCAATGAACTTACCTAGTTTTCCTAGAGCTCATCCTTTCCATTCATCAAAGGCTGCTTCTGAATACAGAAAGTCTTTCATTGCCTGTCGCTTGTGGCGCTGGCATGGCCTGGTGCTGCTATAATAGTGTTTCCCATTTGTGTGTTAAGACTCACTCTTTTTTTACTGCCACCTTCAGCACTAAGACTAGGGAATATGCAAAGCTCAGAACATAGGTTATAAGTTGTGAGATCAATTGTGCCTGATAGCAACAGTCTTGCATTGGGAACGGTGCAGAGATGCACCGGTGCAGGTGAAATTCCAGGGGAATCCTCAGAGTTCCCAAGCACGTAATGGGAGCATGCTCTGCTGATACCATGGAGAGGGTATGGATCCATAGGCCTGCCTCCTCCTGGCTTGCTCCTCCCAGGCAATAGGATGGAGCAGTTCTTGTGGAGGTACTGGGTACAATTTTGCAGAAGCATCTTTTCTAATAAATATTTAGTTCTCATTAAAGATGCTGGCTCCACAGTTTAGAAGACTGACAGCTGCTATTCAACCACTGTAAAAGGATAGCACAGGCAATGTCACCATAAGCTTTCCCACACTGACCTGTCAATGCACCTTCCTCCTTACCAGAGACCATCTCTTAGGGTAACATTGGCTTTGTCTTCACTAACTAGTTAACCTGTGTTTTCACTTAACTGTTGCCCCAACTTTACCCAGCCCTGGACCTCACTGCTGAGATTGTCAGAAATGAATGTCACTTAATGCAAGCTCTGGTGATCTTATGATGTGGACACTTGTCTGCCAGGAACTGGACCATCAAAATTATTTTGTACAGGTCACTGAACAGCCAACAGATAGTGACTATAACTCACTGCTATCGAGCTGGCCTGTATTCAATGAGACAATGTAGCAGCAAAAGACTTCCTTTCACCATGTCACTGCCAACCACCACAAAGCGTGCTTTACAAAACAGAGTAGGCAGTGTTCCTGAGGACAATGCAATCTGAAAGACACAGGACAATGGCTGGGACAACCCTTTAATTAATGAACAGTGTGGTGAGGAAAAACCTGGAAGAGGTTACTCACCTTGTGCAGAAACTGAGGTTCTTTGAGATGCGTGTCCCTATGAGTGCTTCATTGTTGGTGACTAGAAAGCAGTGCCCCAGTCAGAAGGCTGGGGCTTCGGGGCAGTATTTACTGCATATGATAGGACAGTATGTCCTAGGAGAATGTCTGCTATGGCATTGTGAGTAATAGCATAGTGACAGGCAAAAGTGTCTGTTGGTGTTCATGTGGCAGCTTTGCAAATGTCAGCAATGGGAACAATATTGAGAAAAGCAATGGAGGTGGAAAGCGAACAGGTGGAATGTGCTCTGATTGCAGTAGGAGGTTGTCTATTGTGTAGTTCATAGGAGAAATGTATACATTGTGAGATCCAAAAGGTGCAGTTTAGAGATGGCTGCACTCCGGGATCTTTCAGTCATTGAAAGGAATAAATGTGGTGATTTTGGAAAGGTTTAGTTCTGTCCAAGTAAAAAGCTAATGCTCGTCTAGGGTGTGCAGAGCTCCCTCCTGTTGGTTGCGGCGAGGTTTTGGAAAAAAGAAAGGAAGGTGAATTGGTTGATTGAGATGGAAAGATGATGGAACCTTGGGTAAAAATCTTGGATGTGGGTGCAGTGTAACTTTGGCTTTGTGAAATTATGTATGGGAGATATGCCATAAGGGCTGCAATTTCGCCGACTGTCAGGCTGAGGTAATGCCGACAAGAAAGGCAGTTTTAATTGATAAATGAATAAAAGATCATGTTGCCATTGGTTCAGATGGAGATCTAGTCAGAGAACGTAGGACAAGGCCAGGGTCGGGTCTCGTATGTGGGGATAAAGATTTTGGAGACCCTTCAGAAAACATTTTGTGAGTGGGTGCGTGAAGATGGAATGGTCGTCTACGTGGGGAAAATGCACTGGAATGGAGGTGGTGGGTAGTCTTGATCGTTTAAGGTGTAATATGTAGTCCAGGATAAGTGGTAGTGGGAGCATGGATTGCGATTGGATGGGAGGCATACCAGTATTGGAATCTGGACCATTTCTGAAGGTAAGTGAGTCTAATCGTGTTGCACCTGCTATTCAGAAGTATCTGTTTAACTGCATCTGAACAGGTTATTTCCAAATCCTGGAGCCATGGAGGACCCAGGCTTTGAGTTGGAGCATTTGTGGATTGGGGTGGAGGACGCGCTTTGCATCCTGTGAAAGGCGCCATGGCATTGGATGGAGAGAGATCGGTCAACATACCATCATGCAAAGGAGGTAAGTATAACAGAACTGACGTTGCCATGTTGAAGCTATAAGGATGACATGAACTCAGTCCTCCTGTATCTTGCGGAGTACTCAGAACAGAAGGGTGAAGGGAGGGAAGGCATACGGTAGTGGGGCATCCCATGTGGTGAGGAATGCATCTCCCAGGAATTCATGTCCCAGTCTCTCTGTCGAGCAGAACTGAAAGCAGCAGGCATTTTGTGGAGTAGCAAAAAGATCTACAATGGGGAATCCCCAGTGATTCAAGATGAGCCGAAGGATTCACATATCCAGTTCCCACTCACAGTTGTGGGAGAATCTACTGCTTAATGAGCCCGCAGTGGTGTTTTGGTGTCCAGGGAGTTATACGGCTGAGATGGTGATGTGTTGGATACATCAGTTCCATAATTTCAGTGCCTCTGAGCATGAAGGAATGGGACCTTGCCCCGCCTTG